CGTTAGGTGTCGTTCATGCTATCAAATATGGTGATTGAGACGTTTTACAACAGTTGGTGATATCCGATGCGACGTGATGACAGCTACGAATCGTCAAAGATGCGACAAGTTCTTGTCAAGTCCAGCTACTCCTAAACTTGCAAGAAACAGAGACGTCCCTCTCCGACATTCTTCCCGAAGATAGGATTTCCGCGCGAGTGATCTGCGAGAGCGAGATCGTCGTCTTTGGGTCCAGTCATTGCAAGAGAGAGGCGAAGGAAAGAGCAGCTGTCGTCTCCTTGCGATTTTTCACTTTTTCGCGCCGATAAATGTCGAGATGAAGCAATCCAAGCAGATTTAGGATGCTTCGAGGTTTTGTAACATGATGCTATTGCGAAATATCTCCTTAGCGGCTACGTCAGTTTTCCGCTTTACATCTCACGAGGTGGCAATTCGTTTCTGGAAGATATCTTCATGCTCAGCAACGACTATCGAAGGAGTAGCAATTTCATATAAATTTTTAATGAAGATAAATAATCTCCTAGTGGTAAGAATGTTCGGTAAGATCAGATGTCTAATAGCAATGACTATATGAGATATCCCACCAGACCGACTACAATCTCTTGGCGATGAAGTGGGTTTATGCGTAATATCTTGCGCATGTGATGACGTCATCGAAACGTTCCACTATAAAAGCGGACGCTCTGGCCTTGACGATCAGACAGTAGAAACAGCAGCCATCAGGTATGCACTGAGGCTCCCAGGCTATGTCTCTAAGAAGTACATTTACCACCTGTCCAAAATAGAGCCGTTGCAGCAGTACGCCTCCAAGCTTGCACTTAAATACTTTGAAGACCTTAAACGCCCGGACGATATCCGTACCATTAGTGTAACCAGTAACAAGAAAATCAAATTTAAAAAGCATAAAAGAGTAAGAACCTACCCATTATTCAATCTGAACCGTAGAGCGGAAGATGGTCAGGGCCCTCCCCTCCCCCTGTCCCAGCTGCCCTCTTAACCTGCTTTACCGGATAGCCTAAAAACTGATGTACTCATCTTTCATCTTTCCAGGACTGTCACTCCAAGCTGTCCTGATCTTCTTAATCTACACCCACACCCAGAAGGACTTCAAGCACCCCCATGACCCAAGCTAAGTCACTCCACCGCAATCCCCCATATCTCCACAAGTGTATGCATGCGTGTATGACAGAGTGAGCAACTGACTGAAAGTGCGAGCAAAAGGATGTGTGAATAGCATGAGTGAATGTTGCATAGCCGCATAAACCTCTCCTTAATCTAGCTGTACAAAATTTCTTCACTGACCCATAGATCCTCCCTTTAATCATTACTATTTAATATATATATATATAGACAAAAAATAATAATAAAATAAAAAATAACATATAAAACAAGAAAAACCACCCCCACAATGACCATGCCGACTGAAATATCTTTTATCTCCCTCAGCAACCCCTGGCCTGACAACACCACCTGGTGGCTGGCCGCGGACCCTGGGTTGGGGTTCTGGAGGTGTGGTGGAATGTTGGGGTTCTGGACCTGAAGTTGTTGAAGACTTCAACTACCACCTTTCCATAACCAAACCTGTATATTCCACTTCCTCCCATCTTGTATCATTTTCTTGTAAAGGGCATGCTGTATAATAAATGGTCATTGAAAAAAAAAAAAAAAAACCTTGACGATCTCATTACCTCGCTGCCTATGGCCAAGACAGGTCGCACACACTTTCTCATATTTCTCACAGCCGTAATACATCAACTCTCGTTTGTCAGAGCCACTTAGGCGGTATCGTACATGCATTGCCGACCTGTTCGTTGATTTCGATGATATTCTTAGGTTTCTTTTATTTCATTCACTCTCTTAGCAGCAGTTGTTATGAAGGACAGTGGCAAGGATTGCATTGTCGCATCCTCAAAGAATAGGACTCTGCAGGCACGAAATATTTCCTACCATGAATTTCCAAAAAGTCTAGACGGAGAAAATGAATGGCTTCAATCGCTTGGAAGAAAATCTATCCCCAGATATGCTTTAGTGTGCTCGCATCCCTTCTCCTTAGATTCCTATCGTGATCGAAACGCTATAAGGCGCTTGAAAAAAGATGCTGTTCCAACAGAGAATCTGGCCAAAGATCCAACGCAACCTCCCACGTTCACGTTCGGCGTCTAACGTAATTTTTAAATTATCATTTGACGGTCTGACGATTCATTTCAACCAATGGAGGACCAGCAGGTCTCCTCATCTCTTGAGAATGGAAACAATGACATAAAATCATCGTACCGGATGACCATGAATGCTCATTGCTTAGATATAGAAATCCTTCGTCAGAAGCTGAAGAGAGCACAGGAGACAATGAAGGTGAGATAATTTATTTTCTCTCAGGTGATGCAAAAAAGGAACGGTCGTCGAAGATCTCCAAGGAAATGTGTCTATGATTCAAAAACTCGTTCACAAAGGAGTATTCACAAATGCTTAATTGTGACATAAGTTACCAATTACAAGTACCCGCATATCCATCCATTGGCTATTGGGATCTTCGTACCTACCAGAACTCTTCTAGACTGAGAACAGGGAAAATGCAGTGAGGATGAAACGGGATCGTTAGAAGGGGAAACGAAAAAAAATTGGGAATAATGGTGACGGAAAAAAGATTTTCGTGACAGCTCCGATCTAATGTGAGATGGCCGGATATCGAATTCACAAAACTCATCACAAAAGAGATTTTCAGTGTAGAGGACATTTTCACGAGTTTCGGATTTCGCGATGTCATGGTCTTGCCCGGTTTCCCAAGCCAAAGGCGCGCTTCGCTACCCTGTCTACTTACACAGCATACCCTAAAGTGCGAGGCGTTCCACCCCTCAAAACGCGTTTCTGCGCAGACCTAGGAGGGGTCTCTCCGACCCCCTTGGGGTGGGGGGCTCAGAGGACTCGAGCTCCACTTATGCCCCTGGATTCACTTCCGCTCGTCAGTCAGCTGCCTAAATGCTGAGCCCCCCCACCCGTCCTATCCATCCGAAAACCCTCCGTATGGTGACTAGGCTCTTCAAATTGCCACCGTTCGGGCAACCGTCTCCACAACTTCCTCGGTGGGTAGATACATATGTCCACGAATATCTTGAGCCTTTTCCCAGGATTTTTTCTTCGATGGTTCGAGGAATCAGTTCGACTGACTCTTCTGAGAAAACGTATTTTGCATTTAAAAACCTCAAATAACTCAGGAAAACCATGAAAACCTCTCCAATGTAGCAATTAACAAGGAAGCCAAAATTATTGTTGGATACATTTTTCGATTTTCCCCAAAGTCAAGGATATCTTATGAATATTTTCGAAAAATAACAAATATTTTCCTGGATTTTAATGAAATAATTATGTACAACTTCCGGAATAGTCTTAACTTATTCTTAACCCTTTCACCATCAGGTTTTCCAACAACGCAATACCCCTTACCAGCAGGTCTTTTTGCGTGCCCTTAACTAAAGCGCTACTGTAACACAAGGTTGGAACGTACCTAGCCGTGGCATCAGGAATCCCGGTATGTAATAAATGTCAACTCCTTGAAATCCTTCAGCATAATATGATGCATTTAGTCCCACCCCACACGACTACACCGCCCGGGAAATTCTCGGGGCTGCCGGAAACGAGAAGCTGCACCAACCAGAGAATTTCTCAGTCTTGCCGATTAAAAGTTAAACAAGATATTTCAGAGGGATAAAGAAGTTTTCATGATGAAGTATACTCCTTACCATGAAAATAAATAACGCCATGATTTATCATAGTCTTTCCTGGGGTCAAGAAGCGAATGTGACGATTGCGTGGTCGAAAAGAACGACTGACAGTTGCCTCGGGCGGACTCCTCGGGGTTTCTCGCAAGTAGGGAATAAACTAGTTCCACTTGAGAGCCAGCAAATGCTATGGGTCTTTCTCCATCATCTCCCACCCCTTCCTTTCATTTCCCTATGGAGTTCACTTGGCACTGAATTACTAAGACTTCAGATTCGACGTTCACTTACAATCAGAGGCGTGCGTGGGTATCGTCTCATGCGTGATTCACTTTTCGGAGAGTTTTACTCGCGCTGAAATTCAGCGAGGGCACTGTTCGCGATCATGACGGGAAAACAATTCCCTTGCTCGTGATCGTGAGTTCGTTTTTTTATTTTGTCGGCGGAACTACCATGCCAATTTCCGACTCAGGCAGACATAGGCCCCCGAATTGGATAGGACATTTCAGTCTGCCTCTTTCGAACCCGTGGGAACGTCCGGAATTCAATATTCTCACACGGCTTTTCCTAGACCCAAGGAGAAACTGAAGAAAAAATTTGCTCTTCCTTTCATCCGCCGTCTCAGTCGATTGCCTCTGTTCGGCCATTGCACGGCCTCGCATGCTCTGTGTTTCCACAAGTTCAGCTCCAAGCGAGAGGGTATTTTCAAGTGCCGGGTGAATTTTGGAAGGAAGCAGTATGAAAATTTGGACATGGCTTTCCTCCACAAAACTAGCGAACAAGAAACTACCACGTGAATCAATTATCGTTCGGCTACTATAGAGTTCCTTGCGATTAACTATATTTAAAACACAATATATGAAGGAAATATTTATCATATATCATTTTGTAACGGTAACAGATGAGACGAGCATTATGCGTTACACGGTTCGCCACGAGTTCAATTCACGGTCGTACTGACCGTGCGTGTTCGTGATTCTCAAATGATATTGAATCATGAGTTTGCGTGAATGTGTGTCAAAATAGTCTTCCTCTCGTGACCGTGCATCGAAAACCACTCATGCGCCCACCTCTCGTACTTACAAACACCAAACCAGACGGATTAGGTGAATAGGTTATATTAAATGTCTCATATTGATTGTACAGTAAGTTCACCTCTGTCTAGAGTTAAACATGTTTTATCATGATATGATAGGCTTCACCTTAGCGCTAGGCCATCAGGCCTCACAAGGAGGAGCACAAGGAAAACCTTTTGACTACGGAAGGTCAGAGGGGACAGGGAATACTTTAATTATAATCATCTGACTTTCGGCTCATAGGACATTTTCCACTAGAACTCTTCCATTCCTTCATGAACAATATGAACCCAATATCCGAAAATGTAAAGTCTTCAGGAAATGAAAATTCAAAGACCCATGCCCTGTTAAAGGGGGTGGGAGGAGTGTTGTAGATGAGTGTTTCTTGACAGTGATGACTTGGGCAACAGGTGCATGACCTAATTGGCTTGTGGGGTTCTCCCTGGAGCCACACCCCAGGGTTCATCCTTAAGAATTTGCTAATTCATACATATATGCAGCAAAAAAAACTTATTTAATAATGTATTTTTAATTAAAAATTTACAAAACTTAGTTTTTACATTTTATAGCTCAAGGCATGTAATCATGTAGGCACCAGAAATTTTTGCAGTTTATGGAAAAGTAACGCAATCTTCTTTCATGAAAAAGCTGTGGTCTTTTGTCCTAGTCTATATAATGATGGAGGCAATAATAACAATACTACAGGGTGTGCATTTTCAGCAGTTATCAAAAAATGAGTTTTTCAGGTACCTGGGATAGAGAAAAATGAATATTATTAGTGTTCCAGAATAGAGAATTTAGTCCTCTTTAAGACTATGACAACACAAAATTTCAGCTGGCGATGAGAAAAAAAATCATTATGTCAAGTTACTTTATGGAAACCCTGTAATAACACCCCAGACATCAGGATTAAAAAGGACCATCAAGGTATCATTGTACAAAGAGCATGCTGATAAACACCAGTGGATGTTCAATTATAACTTATAGCAATTCTACTTTTGCTATTAAATATGAGACATTCAGTGAAACCATCTTCTCTTCCAGCTTCTCTCCTAAAAACAATGGTTCTTGAAAATCTTAAGCCTTTTGCTGCCATAGTATTGGTCATTGAACAAATTCAGATACATAGTGCAAGAAACATATACATGCATATATANAAACTGGGTTGTAATAATTGTTCATGAAATTCCGAGAACTTTCTTTCCAATCAGATAGAATAAAAGTAGTTCTACGGCAGACACATATATGAGATTTTCAAAGGATTTCCTTTTGATAAGTCGCTAACTCCCAAAAGCCCGTAATAACTGTAGTAATTAGCATTGCTATTCATTATGGATCCTGCCACATGCCTCTTACTATAGCCTACCACTCACTGGGAAAATCCATGCGGGAGAGAGTACCATGTGGGAACAGGACACTGATAATATTTTTATATGTGACACAACAAACAACTAATAGTTTCGCAAGTCAGAGATGCGTCTAAAGTATATTTATATAATATTTCATGGACTCCAGATAATTTCATTTCAATGACAATCCACAGAGAAACTTTTTCTTTGTCTCTAATCACCCCAGCCTTTCATAGTATAAGCATATGATTATTAAAGAAGCGATCCGGAAGCAAGATCGTCTTGACATTTTCTGTGAATTTTTTAAATATTCATTATGATTTTTTTTGCTTTTAATTATTATTATTTTTTACAGCGTTTCGACAGGCGGTCCCAGCTGTCACCGTACAGGTAACACAAGCCACCTTTCAGGGTATCTTACTGGTCGGACTCTGAAATTAAGGACATCGATCAATGGTAGAATGAGGACGATGAAGATGCGGTCATAGAGGACACAACACTGTAAGAAGCAATGAGCTAATAGGTTACAGGTCACCCACTAAAAATGCCACAGGTATATGAAAATCCAAGCGATTGACGGCACAATTAATGGAGGCGCACGAAGAGGTATTTCATGACCCACTTTCGTAGCAAATCAATTGCCCAATCATATTAATGCGCAAAAGTAATAACTTGATCAAACCCCATGTACCAGGAATCACCACATCAAAGTTAGAAGTCATCAATTACTTCATTAATTAATCACTTAATAAAGGAACTTGAATTAGTCAAATGCTCAAATAAATCAACTTCAACTATCAAAAGGGAATTCGGTGACAATTACTACCAGCAGACAATTCACCAACCACAGATATCTTTTATGACCATATAAGCATTTGAAGTCAACAATCATCCACAGAGAGGTCTTTCAATCGATTAAACCTGTCTCGAAATGAATCCGAATAACGAAAACTAATATAATTCGGTCAGTAAGGCGCCATCCGGCAACAATCGATCCGTCAACCCCAAGTACAGCACGTACGTACTGTACCCAAGTACTGTACCCAAGTACAGTATGTCCCAGAAGTACAGTATGTCCCCGTTGACCCCAAGATTGGATCTAAAGCAGCCAACCACTCTCAATTAGTTATTATTAAAAACTGGGAGTATCGGTAAAATGATCGCTCGAATCACAGCTGTGCCACCAGAAGATTGGAAGGATCCAGGCTTTCAAGACTGACCATGTCAGCAGCGTGGGAGGAACTATTGGGTTGGAAAGAAAGTCTTGCAACACTATGCGCAAATTTTTCAAAATTTTATAACTTTATTGAAATGCAATTTCAGTCTGCAATGTAATGACCATTGTTGTCTATGACATGTTCCCAACGCACGGGTAACTGCTCGATAAAAAGACATTGGATTTCCCGAAAATAATTCTGCATTTTTGGATAATTTAAAAATCCATCCTAAAAGCTCATCTCAGGTTTAGTAATGCAAAGCCCCGCCCATCATTCCTTTGAACATTTTTATAAATAGTTCTAGAAAGTGTTGCAAGACTTTCTTTCCAACCCAATATATTCACGCGCGATGAATACAATATTTTTTTTTTTTACATAAAAATGAATTTAATGCGATTCGGCACTTCATTGCATTATCACCTCCACCACAATCTCCTTACATGAAATAAAAACAATGTCAGAAAGTCTCATGAAAGACTATCCAGAATATGGCCGATGAGGAAGGGATGACATCCGAGGAAGATGCATTTCCCTCTGGATAATGTGGTCACCGAGTGCAATGCCGGAGAAGCATGCAGGGTGGTAGATGTTTTAGACATAAGCCATATCCTGAAATACTACAAACAGAAAGAAAAAAATTCAAACGCGGTGGATAAAGGAAAACCGAATTAATTATCAATGAACGTTGCATTTCTTGCGCAGATATTCCATGAGACAGGTGTCCACCGTCACGTCGATGGCATGACAGATCACAGTGGCAGACGATATTCCGAATGTACATCGTCTTTCGAAGTTGACTGTCTACCTCAAGTCAGGATAACATCAGGATTCGGTCTTCACTCGCCCTTTCGCCAATGCCGAGATAATGGCATCGTTTCCCCTCCGCTGGATTTGCAACCCTGATATACATGCTCTTGGGGAGAGAGATGAAATTCAAGCCAAAACAGGAAACCCCTAGCCGATACAGATTTCGAAAAAAAGATTTTCTTTAAGTTTCAATGTTTAAGGCTCGCAATGCTCACTACGAGTAGAGGCACGACGTTCACCCCACATCCCTACACTGAGTGAAAATAAAAAAGGGGGTTATATATTTTGTTATCGCCCTAAAATCCACATATGTTAGACTCGAAGTTTTGGAAGATGGGGGAGTGAATGGAGTCATCCTCTCGATCCACAGTCTCCTCCGCCCATTGCTGCCTTACGCCATTCCTACGAAATATAGACATTCAAAACGATATATACAGGGCGTCCATAAAGTGACTCTCTATGGGCACCTTTGCATTACTAAACCTGAGATGAGCTTTTAGGATGGATTTTTAAATTATCCAAAAATGCAGAATTATTTTCGGGAAATCCAATGTCTTTTCCTATAATAAAGTTGCATTATCGGATAGTTTTCTGGGGGAAAAATCCACCCTTATTTTTTTGTGCTGACTGACAAAAGTGTAGACTCGTAGACCTCAGAATGACGTCACATTTTTCCTCTTTCCATTTCAGAGTGATGGAAATTAATATCTCAGACCCTTGTCTGGGTTTGAACAAACTGAAAAGATGCTTCATAAGATCCTTCATTGGCCTATACGATTTTCAAACTTCACAGTCATGTTCCTCAATGTTCCAGTTTTGGAACGAATGAATCTAAAAAGTGTCGATAACTTTTTTGCGATCCATTTGTCTCAGAAGTGCTCAATAAGGCATATCGTATACACCTGGCTGTAACTATTAAGGAATGTAAAGGCTCTTCAGCACGCGGGTATCTTTTTAAATAAGGGTCTGAGATATTATCACTATCGCACGAAAGTTGGAGGAGGAAAGATGTGGCATTATTCTAAGTTCTACATATAGTCAGTCTGCACACACAAAATAAATGGTTGCATCAGATTCAATAACAAAAAGGTGATCAAAGATAGCCGCTTTCTGAACGCCTTGAATATACATAGATGTGCCAGGAAAATGGAAAGGGATATTACTCACTGCCCCCGTATGTTTCAGCGGAAGAGTTCCTCTAGATGTGAACTCTCCCCTTGATATGTGTGTGAACTCTCCCTACTATAAATAATGATAAATCCTCAAATACTTTCGGAGGAACTGGTCCTGTATGAGAATGGTTCCACTCCAAGGACAGATGGATCCGACGAGATCGAATTTCTGGTAAGTATCAGAGCGCCTCGAAGTGACTAAGTTTCATTGCTTTTTCATTGTACCACGCAAAAAAATGTATCGGTCTACGTAGTCATACATGAAAGGGATAGAACCATCACGAATTATAGTCCAAATGGTGCAGATCAAGTAGTGTTGGAGCAATAAAAAAAGGGAAATGCTTCCCCATATATTGCCTCACGGTCGGGATTAAAAATTTACTGTTTTATCTCATTCCCATGAGTTTCCATCCTGGAACCATAAAAGGGATAGGGAAAATAAGATGAAAAGCAAGACAGTGCGTTGAGAAAGCAAAACGAGAAAAATAAAGAAAATTTCGTTTCTTTCTCCCGATCCTCCTCTTCTTCGTCCTCATAGCAACTAAAAGTAATATAAAAGCTAGTATTATATTCGCATACGAAGGAACCAGCCAAAGAATAAAAAGAAAACGTAATATTATTTAGAGTATTCGATGGAAATAAACGCGTGGAAGCATAGAAATACTGTATGTTGGGTGGCCGGATTGCCGGATTCCCTCCACTACGGGAAAGACACTCACATCAGGACATGTTCTAACTCCTACGTTTATACGTTTTAACCTCCTGGAGCCCTTCAGCCAGTTTAAACTTTTATTTCCATCATTTCCTTATTACCTTCAATTGCAATACAATAATGAAAATAATTCCTTCCCCTCTTTGAAGAAGAGGGGAAGGAATAAGTGAAAGAGAAGTGGGTGGAATGGGATCAGCATCTCTAACACCTCCTGTTTACTTTCCCCTTTGTTTTACTAAATATATTGATATTTGGCTTACAGTGTCAACAAACCGATTTCCGTTTCATGCTTCAAGGTTGCAAAACCGGGTCAAAATTATGATCCATTTTGTCTCATCCTGAATAAAGGACACGAGTAATGAGCATTTCTTATTTAGCTAATGTCTTCATGTTCACTTGACAATGATCGTAGAGATGATTACGTGGTGATTCTTTCCCATTAAGATATACTTACCTCATTCACATTCCAGGTGAGACAAAGCCATGAAAGCTCTGACGCCTCTAGAAATTTAAACGAAGGACCCATTCTTGCCGAAAACCATAGCCGTCAATCCTCGGGCTGGAAGCAGTCTCATAGAGCCAGTTTCTCAAAAATTACTTCCTAAAAGTTCCCCCAAAGTTCCTCTCATAAAGGGAGAGTTCACAGACAAGCAAATCAATAAATTCTTCCGCCACCACATTTGCCAACAGTGAATGAAATCCCTTTCCTTTTTCGCTGCATAAACAGTGTCTTCAATTTCTATTTCATGGGAATGGCATGAAACAGAGAATCAAAAGGGTGGTCAAGCAGATTATTGGGATGAAGAAGCTGAAAATCGACTCGTCTATTTCCTCCATATTCCGAAACTGCAGCTCTAATATAGGCGGATTCTGAATTTAAATGCAATCTTTATTTTCGCTCCCTCAAGGAATGTAGAGTGATTACAATGGATCTATTCGCGGAGATACGATATTGGCAAACCTTCCTTTCATTCTGCTCTCGCTAATGTTTCCGTCAGTTTCAGGCGAGTCTATTATCCTTACCATTATTATCATTATTATTATTTTTATCTGAATACACTCCCTCTCCCCAGAAGCACGTACAGCACGACCAAGGAAAGCTGGATAGGACTGGAATCCCAGGATACTATCGCAGTGTGAGCAAGAGGTGACAGTCGAGTTGCAAAAGCAGTATTTTCATCTGGCTCCAACACCCAAGCATGGGCAGTGAAGTATCTGGAAAAGTGTACTCGAGTCGAAAAATAAAAGCTGTAAAAGAGAAGCTTGACAACTTCTCTGCCGCTAAGATCTCGCAAGCAGATGACGTAGATGTGGACAACTATCTCGCGATGGAAGATCTGCATAAGGAATACATTATTCACTTATAGTTTCCTCACTTTCCTTTACTCGTATCACTCTGCTTTAGGTTGGCTTTCCTCTTTTTCAGACGAACATACTGGATGCTGGATATGGCATGTGTCTGGGGGTTTACACCACGTGTACACGTCGCCTGCATTGCACTCGGTGACCCTAGGAGCAAACAAATATTTTCAATTGACGTCTTCCCTTCATCAAGCGAACTCTATAGATACTACCCCACGAAAATGCTGCTGAGTTCTTTCGAGCTCGAGTGAAAAAAAAAAATACAAGGAAGAGTGCTAGATCTTCATTTACCTCACTGAGATACTGAACCATTCGCCAAGAGGGTGACACTGTTCTCCAGAAAGTCGGTTCGAAAAGAATGAAAAGAAAATCCATATATACAACTGTGGCACGAGATGTCGCATTCTAAACGGCGAATATACAGTTAGCTTGTTCTGTAAAGAGACAACCTCATATTTACGGCTGATTACACAACCACGGTTCTCGTGCGAAAGACATTTGCAAAGAGCGGGACACGAACGAGCAGCAACATTGGAATGACCAAATCACAGTGACTTCTAAGGGAGTAGGAGAAAGAAGGGAAGAGTGAGAGAACGGGAAATGTTGATAAGGAACAGCACCATGAATTCATCCTCCATGAAGTGTTCGTGAAAAGAGATGAAGACTTCCGACGAAATTTCTTTGGGTGTAATGTTGCAAGGATGAACCATGAGCACTCTTCATATTCTTAGGAATGTCAACCAAAGCCAGAAGAAAGCCAAAACTTGAAATGGATTCAGATCAGTTACTTGATAAGGAACAGAAACGTCATAAGGTTCTTTCATGAGAAGAATGCAAGGCTCCAGAGCTGTGATAAACGTGATGCGAGTAATCGCGCCATTCCCATTCCAGATGAGTTCGACGTCGTTGTCAGGAACATGACTGCCCAGCAATATGGAATGACCTTTTGAAGTAAGTTGCAACACTGGCACTCTCTTTGCACACCTTGGAGTACCACAGAAAAATGTTTCATGCGCACATACGCCGCCTTGATCGAGTGTTGAATGAGAATACCGACTGAAGAATTAAACCTATCAAAGTACTGCAATTTTCTCTCCCTACTACAGCCACCCTTTTTTTGCTTCTCCAACCATGCCGGTAGACTATCAAGAGAGACAGTCCGTAGATACTTCGAAAGAAGCCTTGTGAAATTTCTGTGTAAATGTACATTTTGCATTGTAAGTTAACTTTTTTAAATATCTGGCATGAAGAAATGGCGGCGATGTAATAAAATCAAAATCTGCATACCACGCATTTTCGATTCAATGTCGGCCCTAGTCGCGCAGGAAAGCAGTCCCTGCAATGCCGTCAGCAGGGGTATGCCTCAAGGTCTAGATCCTTCCACTCTCGTTCTAGTGGGACAGCTGTGATGGAAGCGATGCCCTTAGCAACCTCCTCGGAGGGGGCCAAGGAGGCAACGTCATTTTTTCAGCTTCTCAGGTCTTTTGGACACAAGGTGTGGTTTTTTTTTACAGGTTTGAAACTAAAACCTCCCCTACTCTCTCCATCTTCCGAGGGCTATCTGATAAGAGGGTGGTTTTTTTGTGGGTTCCCTTGGAACAGAAAAACTCGGGAGCCGTCGTTTCCCTCACCAACATAATCGTCCATAACGAAGAAGTTCCTGAACAAGAAATACATACTCTCCTCTAATTTCAGTTTGGTTCGTTTTTCCATGATAGGGCCCGGCACTATTGCCGAATAAACGTGTCAGAAATTGGCGAAAATAATTTTCACGGAAAAACATATGATTTAGAAATTGCACCCAAGCTGAATTGCACACAGCACACGTAGCTTGTCACGACAAGATGAAGCACTTGAAAGCATGTAGTCCAACCAACCCAGTCATATGTACGGTGTTCAAGCTTGATGCGATCAAGTGATTCATGTGAAGTTTCCTGTGATCCCTTTAGGGTTCCAGTGGTACTCCCATTTGTGCTGTTTCTTCGCACAGAATAAGTCACATCTCAGCCAAATAATGTACAGGATGTACAAGGTGTTCCATATGTCCCTTGACCCCCCCCCCCCTCCATTTTTTTCTTGTTCCAGGTGAATTAGGGCTAGAATTTGTGTAGATATGAATGACCAAAGCCCTTTTACGCTAGAATAGCATTTAGTGATGAGTGTTTGGATGCATGAGCGCCAACAAAGGGGGGGGGGAGGAACATGATAAATTTGTTTGACGCCATGCTCCGAATGTCTCATCGCACCTAGCGCCATATCATTCTGTGCTCAGAAAACGACGGCGTTCATACTTAACCCCACGATCTCTAAATGATCCCCGGTTTCTCGAGTGAGGGTTATTAAATGTCAAAATGAATGTAGTTTCAAATGGCATATGTTTTATTTTGCTGCACTATTCTACAAAAGGGGGGAGGGGGGTCAAGGGACTTATGGAACACCCTGTAGAAACAGGATTACTTCCCCTGCATGATGGATTTGATCAAGTCATCAACTAATCGATCGTCCCCACCTTTCACGGGTTTCCATCCAATCCCTTTGTGATCAGCCCACCCCTTCTGGGGGCATCAGAACTCGGACTATTTGTGGTCCTATGCCAGGAGAACACCAGGACCGGGTGCAGTATGCTGACATGAACTGCGAGCACAGACTCCAAAGGCATGACATAGGAGTGTTTTTGGAAGGGCTTCCCGAACTCTACTAGTCTTAAACCGTTCAGATGATGAAGAGCTTGTGCTAATAAAGTGCTTTGCATGCATCAATTGCGAAAGGAGACCCATAAATATCGAATTTTCTGAGTGGAGCTCGACAGGCAACCCATTAACTCTGACATCAAAATTCTAACCGTCTGAGATCGATGGATATTTTCATTATTAAAAGAATAGGTATACAGAGTCCTCTAAGAGTCAGGTTAGGAACTGAGAGGTCACAGATAGGTTCTGTCCCAAAGTTGTTCGCAATAACACGAACCCTGGGGGCCTTCGTCTTTTAAAGGCCTCAGGGAAGTAAACAAAGAAGTAATAAATCCAGTGGCCTTTTCGTTAGTCCCCTTTCCTGGGTTTCTTTCAGCCATCTCCTCTGTTGTTCGGGAAACTTTCCTTCATTCTTTGAATCGTTGATCCCAGTCAGGTGAAAGATCCGAGCTCCTACTCGAGACTAGTTTGCAAATAACCTGACATTCCCTTGGGGGTATCATGAGCAGTGATGTGGCAAGAGGGGGGAAGGGGTTGGGCGCTGAAGTCCAACTCTGATTTAAATGCATGGACGGGAAACCAAGAAATTCTGGGGGCCTTTTCGGAGGGTAGGAGCAACTGTGAGATCCGTCTCCCTATTCCCTTTCCCCCCACCACGCTGAGCACAGCACGTAAAAAAATGGTCCCACAACTGTCTTGGTATTCATCACCCCAAAAAGGCGATTCAAGGGGGGGGGGGTCTCGGGAAATTTAAACACCTCCCCTCAGTTCCTCCTAGCCCTCCTAAGCTAAAACCCGGCTGTCACTGATTATGGACTAACTCTAGATTATCTTCCCAGCTTGATGGAGGATACTGAAGAACGCATTACCAGTTATGAGTATAAATGGGTTATTCACTCTCAAGCTTGGGAGCGAATGAGTGCCACAAATTATTAAAGCGCGAAGAAAGCACGACACTGCAGTGAAAGTGGGCAAAAATGGGTGTCTAAGTCCAGGTACTATCAGCCACGTTGTTAGGCGATAATAAATGACTAGATTCATAAGTTAGATGAATCTATTTGCATATGATATTTTGGATCATTTCCTTGGGATGTGAGATGTCGATGAAGCTAAAAGCTTCATCGCTAAAAGCATCGACGAGGTGTTCAATAAGGTCGAGGCACTGTCGCCTGACACAATTAACTACTTGACATAAGAAGTCGTGAAATAAAGGTCGGCATGTTACGGCATTTGTATTTAAGCTCTATACTAGGCCTGTTTCTCATGGAAATTTCGATGCAACGAAACACACAGGGAAATTATTCATTTTCTCCGTGTGGAAAAGCTTCGGTCATATTTCTTGTAGCAGAGGCTTGGGAATACAAAAGCTGGCCTAGCACGCATTCACATTCATAGGTGAAAAGGGGA